CTTGACCCAGCGTCCACAAGAAATATTATCGGGATATCCATTTCATAGTAAAAACATGTCAACACATGTACAAATATATAAAACAGGTCAAAGCAACTGATAACAATACAATAACAATACCATACAATACCAACTTCTAAATGCCTGCCAGTGTGATCAAATGAAATCAAATGATATCCAATGCGTTTAATTAATTGATTTTACACGGTTTTAAGCTCGAGATATGGTATGATATGTTATGAAATGTTGTGAATGCGCGTCAATGTTGTCAATCTCTTCACATCTTTGAACCACGTCTTTGTGTCTCAAGAGCCCGGCCGCTCGCTGCATCCGGGGCGGCAGCATTAGCACTTCCTGACATGGGGCGGAGACATCAAACAAGATATAAAAGCACACAGAAAATCAATGAAAATCATGGAATGATATAGAAAGATAATGAAAGATATAGGACGGCCATGAAAGACATCGATTGACATGAAAAAACGGATGAAATGCGAGAAGTTAAAGCATGTTAAAGCCACAGCATCACCGAAAAGAAACACCAAAGCAGTGTTTATATGTGTTTATATGTGTTTATAGAATGGAAACATATGGGAAATTGGACAACCCAAACTGGCTTCATAAAGGCATCTGGTCACTCAATTCCATTTTATACACTACTTGCTAGGTATGAGTGAGGGGCCATTTCCCTTCCAAGGGCCCGTGCCTTTTGGTCCACTCTCCGCAGCACTTCCTCAACTGGGAAAGGTCACTGACATGGCACCTCAATGCTATTCAATACTCTGCCAAAAGACCAAACAAATAGGTTTATAAAATGGACAAGCGGGAAGACTTGACCCAGCGTCCACAAGAAATATTATCGGGATATCCATTTCATAGTAAAAACATGTCAACACATGTACAAATATATAAAACAGGTCAAAGCAACTGATAACAATACAATAACAATACCATACAATACCATACAATACCAACTTCTAAATGCCTGCCAGTGTGATCAAATAAAATCAAATGATATCCAATGTGTTTAATTAATTGATTTTACACGGTTTTAAGGTCGAGATATGGTATGATATGTTATGAAATGTTGTGAATGCGCGTCAATGTTGTCAATCTCTTCACATCTTTGAACCACATCTTTGTGTCTCAAGAGCCCGGCCGCTCGCTGCATCCGGGGCGGCAGCATTAGCACTTCCTGACATGGGGCGGAGACATCAAACAAGATATAAAAGCACACAGAAAATCAATGAAAATCATGGAATGATATAGAAAGATAATGAAAGATATAGGACGGCCATGAAAGACATCGATTGACATGAAAAAACGGATGAAATGCGAGAAGTTAAAGCATGTTAAAGCCACAGCATCACCGGAAAAAACACCAAAGCAGTGTTTATATGTGTTTAATTGTGTTTATATGTGTTTATAGAATGGAAACATATGGGAAATTGGACAACCCAAACTGGCTTCATAAAGGCATCTGGTCACTCAATTCCATTTTATACACTACTTGCTAGGTATGAGTGAGGGGCCATTTCCCTTCCAAGGGCCCGTGCCTTTTGGTCCACTCTCCGCAGCACTTCCTCAACAGGGAAAGGTCACTGACATGGCAACTCAATGCTATTCCATACTTTACCGAAAGACCAAACAAATAGGTTTATAAAATGGACAAGCGGGAAGACTTGACCCAGCGTCCACAAGACATATTATCGGGATATCCATTTCATAGTAAAAACATGTCAACAAATACAAAACAATTCAAGACAAATAATAACAATATTTGCTTTTTGCGTGTTTTTTTAGCTTTTGGGCAATGGCAAGCCGGAAAATCACAAGTGTGCGTCTGAAGGTCCCGGCCGCTCGCTGCATCCGGGGCAGCAGCAGGGCAGTTAGCATTTCCTGGCAAGCAGGGAACCAAGGCATCTGGCACCGCCTGATGCCCCACACTTGCAACTTTTCTAGCAGGCTTGAACTCTGAAGTGCATCCCCAAGCCCAGCCTGGCATTGGACCTGTGTCCTTACCCTCGGCAGCAGCACCACCTGAAACCACCGTGGGCTGAGGCGTTTCAACGTGCTGGACAACTACATTTACATCTATGCCAAGAAATGTGCTGCAGTGTCTGGCGGTGTTTTCTCTGTGGATCTTGACGTCGGTTTCTAGGCAACTCCAATCCTCTAAAAGATTCTAAAAGATCCTGTTTGCCACTCTTGGGCATCACGTTGCGACACAATGAGAGGCAGCAGCCCCCCAAATCAATGCTTCTCATTAGTGACAAAAGCGAGCGATGCTCATGGCAAACATCATCCAGGCAAGGGGCAGACTTCGCTCTGCACAGCATTCCCAAAACCAGACTGATTCCAAAAATTGCTAATGGGCAGACCAGATTCTGCACAGATTGGTGCATTCCAAACATTCCCAAACCAGACTGATTCTCTTTCCCTTGCCTGTCCTACGCTAGTCTGACAATGCCTAGCCGACTCAAATCCTCTTCTTCTGCTTGGATGGGCCCTCAATTTCATTGAGGCGAGTGCCTTCCACACTGGCTTCCGCAAGATCTTCACAACGGCTCTGATCATGAGCTCGCTTCTTGCCACCATGGCCCCCGTCATTGGAATCTCCACGTCCACAGTTGCAGCACCCATAGTAGTGGTGGTGATGGTGGATGTGGAGGTGAAAGTTGTGAGATGGGGAAAATGTCTGCTGTGTCTGGTTGTGGTGCACGTGGTGCTGGATGGTATGGAAGTAAAGCCTGTCATTGTGGCAATGGATGTTGTTGTCTTTGACTGTCCACTGCACATAACTGCCATCCATGGAATCACCTGTGGAGGAAGGGATGCTCGTGGTAGTTCCGTCTGAGCCCTGCGAGTCTTGTGAATGCTGTGGACTTTCCTGGGCATCATCCTCTGTGTGAGCTGCTCCTTGCAGGCCACGGACTTCTGCCACAGCATAGGCTCCATCCGGGCGTGGGTCTTCGCTCAGGCCACGCGACTCCTGAGAATCGGAAGTGAGATCATAGAGCTGAGACATGATGACTGCACCCGAAAAGAGAGGGGGGATGCAAGAGGCTTCTTTGCGTTGTCAGCACGTGTGCAGGCCAAATGCTGCAGAACAAAATGCAAGCTGTGCAGGGTGACACCACACGCACTTTCAAAAGGAAAAGGGCTGCAAGCACCAAGCTTATCAAAAGGCCAAAACAAATCAAATAAGATATTACAAGACATTTCAAAACATTGCCAACCACTCTGGGTGTATCTGGGTAGCTGGCGACTCCGAGGCCTCTCAAGAACTTTGATGGGGCCTGCAACCCACACGGCGCAAGGGTGATGGGAACAACAGCACTTGTCTACAAACTGGGTGTCAAAAACAAAACAGGTTTCGTTTGAGTTATTCTATGTTATTCTCAAAGTTTAGAGGAGGTGGGCCCCCGAGGAATCCACATGTCCAACTGAGATACTGGCTCATTGTGTCTGCAGGGAATGCCGCTGGAACTCCTGCAAAAGCAGCAAGAAACATTATAAATGTGGAAACATGAAAACATAGTACTGTAAGACATACCCAGACAAATTACTACAAACTGGCAAGCTCGACCCCATTTTAAGGAACCATTTTCCACAGAATGGTGCCTTATGGCGACCTCAACCCCACCCATTCTGTGGAGGAAATGGCAAGGGGGATTATATATATCATCATAACTTATCAGGTTGAAACTGCTAGCTGGCTCCTTTGTCGTTCTTCACCGGTGTTCTTGGGCTGCTGGTTACATGTGGCTCTTGCTGAGAAGGGCGGTCATTGCCCAAGCGACTACGGTCAAAGTGCTCAAGCTGGACATCAAGTCTGCTCCACTTGTCCGGTTTTGGGCACTTCTCTGGAGTCAGAGGCGCCACTTCGCCTGCAGAGCTGTGAGTGTTCTTACCAGTCACGGTATGCGCAATGTTCAAAAGAAATTGGCTCACATAAAATATGTGTCCTTTATAGACTGGTATGGTGTATAAAATGGAAAAATCAGGAAACTCTAATCTTTGAGACGCCCCAAACCCACGGTGTCAAAAGATAATCCATCTAATAAACCAATATAAACCAAAGTCTGGAATAAATCTTTCCAACTGTTGCTCGATGGATAGTATATAAAATGGAAATGTCATGAAGCGTCCAGTTTTTTTTAAGACCACAAACCCAAGGTCTCAGAAGATGATTCATTTTATAATCCCAACTCCACAACGCCACTGGCGCTGGCCTTTCCCAGTCTCACCAGCTTGCTTTGAGAGCTTGTCTCCTGGTGTGGTGTTGGCTGGGCTGCACCTGCATTCCCCCCACGCAACTTCAGCTTAGCGTAATGACTTTTGTCGAAATTTTCATGGTGTCTTTGGTTCATAAATTTATAAAATGGAAAGGACATGAAAGGACCAGTGGTGTGCTGAAGGAAAAACATCGATCCCTGAAAGAAGAGTCCATTTTATAAACAAATCCCTAAGATTCCCGAAGTGTCTCCAATAAAATCGCATCAAGTCAAGACAAACTCCGCATCCATCCGCGTCCCGAGGGGTCACAAAGAGATCGAAGGACGCCAAAAGGCACCAAAAGAAGATGAGTTCAATGTGAATCCAACATAGCTCAACTAGAGCAACCGGCATGCATCTGAAGTGCGTCCTGCATCACGGAGGGACAGCCCTGATTCTTCCTTTTGGCCTGAGGCAAAGAAGATGCAGTCAGCACGAGAAAGCATGAGGTTTTGTGATCACAGGTGGGAAAACATGAGGAAGATAAAGAGCAAAGTGAAGCAAATTAGCATCAAAACTTCAAACATTTCTCAAAAAACACTGTTAAAAACACCAACACCTGCCACATGTCCCTGCGCTATTGGGCTCATGACCTTCAGCATTTTCCGCAGAAACCTGATCAGCACCTGACCAGTGCCGCAAGGTAATTTCAGCAGTTAAAATCAGTTAAACAGGTTTACCCCACATTTCGGTGTATAAAATGGATAATCTTCTATTGTTTCTGTATTTCGTGTTTCAAATACTGGACTTTTTCATGACTATTCCATTTTATACACCGACATGCGGGGGTAAATCTGTCCAGATTTACCCCCGCATGTCGGTGTATAAAATGGAAAATCTTCTATTGTTTCTGGAATTCGTGTTTCAAACACTGGGCTTTTCATGATTTATCCATTTTATACACCACCTGTTTCGGCTCCAGGGGCGGAGCCCACATTGCACATTTTCCATCCCCGTTCAGATTGGACCCGAGGGGTTGGGAGCCCCATTTTGTAGCTACAGAATGGCGTCCCCAAGGTGCCCTTCTTACAAGTTGGAAGAACCCAACGTTCATCGAGGAAGGTTTTTGTCACAAAATGGCAGTCCAAGCTGACCCCTAGTTACAAAATGGTACCCCGATTTTGCTCGACTCGCATCCGCTCGCATCCGTTGGCTCGATTTGCCCTTTACAGAATGGTGGGGACTGGGGGTAGCTCTACTCGCACTATCCCAGGATCCCTAGGCAGTAACCTGCAACAGCCTGGCCAACCCGAGTCGCGATTCATTTTTCCCGTTCTTTCGCGTTCATCAGTCTGTTTCGGCGTCATATTGATCTTTCAAATTTGGGCCTTAGCACTAACTTTGGAAGTCAAACTTCCAAGTTACAGATATTGAACATTCAAATTTGGGTTCACGCGCCGTTTGGGGGTGTCTTCCATGGCCCAACTAGGCCTCAAAATGCCTCAAGTTGGTCCCATCAAAGCCTCAAGTTAGAAGGTTCCAGCCAGGTATATTAAATATACCTGCCAAAAACGACTCAACTGCAGCCTTCCATGGCCCAACTAGGCCTCAAAATGCCTCAAGTTGGTCCCATCAAAGCCTCAAGTTAGAAGGTTCCAGCCAGGTATATTAAATATACCTGCCAAAAACGACTCAACTGCAGCCTTCCATGGCCCAACTAGGCCTCAAAATGCCTCAAGTTGGTCCCATCAAAGCCTCAAGTTAGAAGGTTCCAGCCAGGTATATTAAATATACCTGCCAAAAACGACTCAACTGCAGCCTTCCATGGCCCAACTAGGCCTCAAAATTCCTCCTCACTTGAGGCTTTGAGAGAGCCAAGTCCGTGGAACCCCCCCGCGGCGCGCGAACCTTGGTGCTGGATAGGAATGCTATGCCGTGCCTGCCAGGCAATATTGATACTGCACCTTGCCACTGTTTTTTTTATTTAATCCCCTTTGTGGATTGGGATGGAAAGGGCAAGTCAAGCCTCATCAACAGGAACTGAAATAATGCTATGACTTGGGCAATCCATCCACTGGGGTTTCAACCCTAAAAAATAATGTTTCTGGATTTGATAGGGCAACTCACCCTTTAAAAAGAAGAAGTGAGTTGGGCAATCAATCCAGTAAATAGATATATGGGACACCTTCAGGGGTTATAAATTAATCCCCAAAACTGTGCCTATTACAAAAAGAAAAAAAGGTAAGAGGCAGGGTATTCGTCTGCTTTTTGGGGTCTCTGCCACCGAGCGCTCCGTTAATACCCTGCTCTCCCCCTGTTTAAAAGGAATACCTATGTAAAAACTTAAAACTACCTATCTAAAAAACTAAAACACACTCCACAAACACCCCAATTCCCAGTTCCATGCCGCGGTTCTGACACCTGACATCCTGTAAGAGGATAGGATGGATAAATAGGGCAAGGATAAATGGGGCAAGGATATGGAAAAATGGAAACCCTGGGATAGTGATCCAACCCCTCGAATAATAATAACTTGAGAGGGGGGGGACGAAAGGTAGGGGGGGGCAAAAGAGAGCAACAGGAAAAATATTGCCAAACTGAGATTGATACTTCTCTTCACTCAAACCTCCTGCAGAAGAAAATGTTAGCCCCCAAAAAAGCTTTGTGGGAATAGAATCAGAAACATAATGTCAAATGTAAAGTAACTTCACGCGCGCGCCGCGCCGCGCGCGCGCGTGAACCATCCTGCATGCAGGTGCTTCTCCGCGCGCGCCGCGCGCGCGCGCGAGCGCGCGCATGTGCGGGACGTAAACATTGCGAGTCTCTATTCCCCGGCACGGCCTCAATGGGACTAGAACATCCACGATAGATCGATAGATCAATAGATAGATAGATAGATAGATAGATAGATAAAACTATAAATAAATAAATAAATAAATAGATGAATAAATAGATAGAGAAATAGAAGCATCGATCCATATCAAACTTCAAGTGGCCCAACATAAGCCCAAAACCGACCCAAAAAAAAAACCAACCGAAAAATTTTCGGTTGGGTTTTTTTTTTCGGCCCGAAAGCCGCCAGCAGAGCCCCAAATGACCCAACAAAGGCCCAACATAGCCCTAAATTGGCCCAACAGAGGCCCAACATAACCTCCAAATGGCCCAACATAAGCCCAAAACCGACCCAAAAAAAAAACCCGACCGAAAAATTTTTCGGTCGGGGGTTTTTTTTGGGCCCGAAAGCCGCCAGCAGAGCCCCAAATGACCCAACAAAGGCCCAACATAGCCCTAAAATGGCCCAACAGAGGCCCAACATAGCTGCCGGAATCACCCAAAATGCGCTGGCTGTAAAGAAAACCCCTTAAGAGGTGTTCCCTCGGCTGAAATCCTTTGGCTTCATGGTTTATTTAAAATCAAAATTCTAAAATATGTAAAAAGGGACCAAAAGATAAAAAGCTGAGGCCCAACATTCTTGAGGCTAAATTTGGCTGAAATATTGTTTAATCACATTTACATGTTTATACCATAGGATAAATCACTGAAAAATGGTTGGACAAGCCTAGATCGGACAGATTTACCCCACATTTCGGTGTATAAAATGGATAATCTTCTATTGTTTCTGTATTTCGTGTTTCAAATACTGGACTTTTTCATGACTATTCCATTTTATACACTTCTTATGGCCCGAGGACTTCGACCCGGCAGGGACGGGGCAACACGATGGGATTCACACCGGGACAAAACAACGGGGTAACACAACGGGTAACCAAACAGGGGAATACAACGAGAAAATGAGAAATGACACATTTATACTTGGTTACATGGATTATATGTGGTTATATGTTGTTTTATGGGTTATGTGGGTTATGTGGGTTATTTGTGGTTATTATCCACAATCTTATATATACATATATATATAATATGTATATGTGTTTTTGTATGTTTTATCCACAATCACTTCTCAAACATTCAGTGGCTCATTTTCAAGACATCGATCGCTGAAAGAAACTTCCATTTGATTAACAGATCTCCAAGTTTCGGTAAGTGTTCAAACTGGAACCTTCCAAAAAATAGCAACATCACTGAGGACCTTTTGTTCCTGCCACATGTCCCTGCGTTATTGGGCTCATGACCTTCAGCATTTTCGACCGAAAGCTGATCAGCACCTGACCGGTGCCGCAAGGTAATTTCAGCAGTTAAACAGGTTTACCCCACATTTCGGTGTATAAAATGGATGATCTTCTATTGTTTCTGTATTTCGTGTTTCAAATACTGGACTTTTTCATGACTATTCCATTTTATACACCGACATGTGGGGTACATAGTTGAGCTCAACATGAATTCAAAAAGCCCATATCAAACTTCAAGTGTATTCATGTGTATTCTATACTCTCAAGAGATTACTTTAAGGCTCCAACACCAGAAAACAAGTTTAATCATCGCTGGCCTCCATCCTGAGTCTGCTCCAAGAGCTTGTCTCCTGGTGTGGTGCGGGCTTATTGGTTTATACCTGGCTAATCATGTTTATACATGTTTAATATTGTTTAATCACATTTACATGTTTATACATGTTTATACCATAAGATAAATCACTGAAAAATTGTTGGACAAGCTTAGATCCTTGAAACGAGCTTCCATATCATAGACAGGACCTTCAAGTGTTTCCTACCAAAATCAATCAAAGTTAAATTTAGTCACGTTGACATTACCTGCATGAAGATCATACACAATCAAAGAACATCAAAGGACACCCAAAGAAACAAAACAAGTTGAGCATAGTTGAGCTCAACATGAATTCAAAAAGCCCGTATCAAACTTCAAGTGTATTCATGTGTATTCTATACTCTCAAGAGATTACTTTAAGGCTCCAACACCAGAAAACAAGTTTAATCATCGCTGGCCTCCATTCTGTTTCCCGGTGTCATCAGTCTGCTCCAAGAGTTTGTCTCCTGGTGTGGTGCGGGCTTATTGGTTTATACCTGGCTAATCATGTTTATACATGTTTAATATTGTTTAATCACATTTACATGTTTATACATGTTTATACCATAGGATAAATCACTGAAAAATTGTTGGACAAGCTTAGATCCTTGAAACGAGCTTCCATATCATAGACAGGACCTTCAAGTGTTTCCTACCAAAATCAATCAAAGTTAAATTTAGTCACGTTGACATTACCTGCATGAAGATCATACACAATCAAAGAGCATCAAAGGACACCCAAAGAAACAAAACAAGTTGAGCATAGTTGAGCTCAACATGAATTCAAAAAGCCCGTATCAAACTTCAAGTGTATTCATGTGTATTCTATGCTCCCAAGAGATTCCTTTAAGGCTCCAACACCAGAAAACAAGTTTAGTCATCGCTGGCCTCCATCCTGTTTCCCGGTGCCATCAGTCTGCTCCAAGAGCTTGTCTCCTGGTGTGGTGCGGGCTTATTGGTTTATACCTGGCTAATCATGTTTATACATGTTTAATATTGTTTAATCACATTTACATGTTTATACATGTTTATACCATAGGATAAATCACTGAAAAATGGTTGGACAAGCCTAGATCGGACAGATTTACCCCACATTTCGGTGTATAAAATGGATAATCTTCTATTGTTTCTGTATTTCGTGTTTCAAATACTGGGCTTTTCATGACTATTCCATTTTATACACTTCTTATGGCCCGAGGACTTCGACCCGGCAGGGACGGGGCAACACGATGGGATTCACACCGGGACAAAACAACGGGGTAACACAACGGGTAACCAAACAGGGGAATACAACGAGAAAATGAGAAATGACACATTTATACTTGGTTACATGGATTATATGTGGTTATATGTTGTTTTATGGGTTATGTGGGTTATGTGGGTTATTTGTGGTTATTTGTGGTTATTATCCACAATCTTATATATACATATATATATATAATATGTATATGTGTTTTTGTATGTTTTATCCACAATCACTTCTCAAACATTCAGTGGCTCATTTTCAAGACATCGATCGCTGAAAGAAACTTCCATTTGATTAACAGATCTCCAAGTTTCGGTAAGTGTTCAAACTGGAACCTTCCAAAAAATAGCAACATCACTGAGGACCTTTTGTTCCTACTTTAGTGGTGCAGTCTGGCTGGCCTTGTGCATCTTTTTTATTTGCTGCATTGCCTTTGCCTTTGGAATTCTGGGTACCTTGCCGCGGTGTCCCAACTCCCACCATCGCCACATTGCTTACATACTGCACAGGTCTGTCTTGTCTCGTTGATCTAAAATTTAAAACATGGAAAGGACTCATAGCATATTGGAAGATGAACATAATTCCAATTCAAAAACAAATTGAGAAAAAATCGATACAAAATCTCCCAAGGTTGTTCAATAGTGTTTCATTTGCCTCGGCTTCAAAAGAGAAAAGCTGGAAAAACTTGAAATCACCACAAAAATACATTAAAAACTATTAAAACATCATTAAAAAAATATATCCACTGCCGCTGGCCTTTGGAACCCTTTTTGCCATTCTTTCCTCTCCCTTTTGAATTAGAAGCACCTGGTGGAAATCAAGGACTTTTCGGAAGTCGGGGGGCGCAATCTTTTTATAAAATGGAAAATTCCATTGATTGAAATACACCGAATCCCGAGGTACCAGAAGATTGTCCATTTCATAAACCAAAGTATGGGGTAAATCATTCGAACTGTTGCTCGATGGGTGGTGTATAAAATGGAAAATTCATGAAAATTCCAGTTTTTGAAACAAACCGAATCCCGAGGTACCAGAAGATTGTCCATTTCATAAACCAAAGTATGGGGTAAATCATTCGAACTGTTGCTCGATGGGTGGTGTATAAAATGGAAAATTCATGAAAATTCCAGTTTTTGAAACAAACCGAATCCCGAGGTACCAGAAGATTGTCCATTTCATAAACCAAAGTATGGGTAAATCATTCCAACTGTTGCTCAATGGGTGGTTTATAAAATGGAAAATTCATTAATGTTCCAGTGCTTGACATACCCCGAATCCAGAGGTACCAGAAAATGATCCATTTTATAAACCAAAATACGGGGTAAATCTTTCCAACTGTTGCTCGCTGGGTGGTTTACTCCCAACCTTTCGGATGTGGTTCTTCTGGTCCAACCTCCTCTGGCACTTCGGCTCCTGCGTGCGAAAGTGTCCAGTGAACAACAAGCATTGGCAAATTAGCAGCTAGCACTTTACTGGTACAACAAAAAAAGGACCATGAAACCCGTTGTTGTTGGATCTTCGGTTCCAGGAGCGCATGCCAAAAAAAAACGTATTCGAAGCTGTTCCATTTTCTGTCGTGATTTTAAATCGCATCCTCGTTGAATGTGAACGAATTTTGAACGATCCAGAACCTGCTTGATAGTGAGCCATTTTTCTCCCGAGTCAAGAACACACAGCATCTGCGCCCATGCATGTGCGCATACAAGTCATCAGGTGCCATCTGGACACATCTGGCTACAAGTAGTTACAAGCTACAAGTATTTTTGACTAGCATTGAATAGCAAATAAATCACTACGACCAACCAGTTTCAGCAGCTCTGGCTGCTAATAGCCAATCTACAGCTGGTCATTGACCGCTCGCATTTGCAAGCCGGTTTTCTTGCCAGCATTGGAAGACGGCTTTGATGAAGGAATGCGGGTAGACCGCAGAGCTGGCGAGGTCTTTACCTCCATGGAATTTTCCATTTTTATCACGGTGGTAGTACTCCTTCACAGGTTGGCCACGTGCCCTTTTTCTCGCATTCCTCTTCGCAATAAGTTCACGATGTTTCTTCCGCAGCTCTTTGGTTGCACGGCGTGCAATTTTGCTCAACGTGGGTAGGGTGCTGAAAAGAACTGTTGGTTTAAGCAAGTCATGGCCCCACGCTCCAAGATACGTGACATACCGCTGCATACCCCACAGCTTACTGGCCTTCAGAAACAACTTTTGCTTCACGAGCCACGAAGAGAGCGGGTTTTCCAGCATCACATACAACCCCGGCCGCCAGATCTGCATAAGCAATAAAAAGATTGCCTCTATTGTGGCAAAGACATACTTACAGCCAATGCAAAATTCTTCGACAGGAAAAAAGTGAAACCAGCGGCAGAGACTGCCATCAGAATTCCATGAGGCTTTGAAACAATATGAAAGAACATGCAAAAACTTTCAGAAACTATCCAGGACAAAAAACATCAAAAAACATTGTTCTCAATTGTTCTATACCAAGGAACAGCGTTGTTGAGGATCAAATTGCTCAGTCTGACACAGAAGAGCTTGGTATCCCCCTCCAACTTCTTTTCCTTAGCTAATTATATCTTTCAAATATTCAGAGTCTGCCCTGGATCTTCCATTTTTTGCTTGGGGATTGTAGAAGATTTATGAAAATCAACTAAATCGTATGAGGATCACTTCTTCTGTGCGTCCCTTGGGATATGCCAACAAACAAGCTGCACGGCGGTGCCATTGGCATGAATGCGCCAGGCAATGTCCTCAGCGCAAAGGTCTCTCAACAATCTGATGGGAAACATGTGGAACCTTGTTGGTTTGATGATCTTGGGTGTGGTTTGATCATGGTTGATCTATTTTGCAGTTATTTGTGCGAAAAAAAAAGGACTAAACATGCAGAGCATGCTCAAACACCCGTGATCAATCAACACCATGGCTCGCCAGCCCGTATTCGAGCAACATCATGAAACCAGTCTGGCATGTCACATCTTGCTGTGCACACGATTTTATATCGTATGCAACTGCCATGAAACCAGCTCTGGCAAATGCCGATGCAAACCGTTGAGAGTGGGAAAACACGTCAACACAGTCAAATCTTCGAGCGCCCCGCCACATGGAGCAGTAATGGTTCAATCTTTGCCAATCATCCGAAGCCACGTACCACTTGTCTTCGGGCTGCGTGGTCGATGCGTCAAGGGAACGCCCACTCAATACCTGGGCACCAACAGGATCCACTTAAGTTCAATCAGGGTTCCATGTTCTCTTTATATTCTGGAATTGGGTTCGTCACAAAACCCTGACAGTCCCAAAAGTCTTACGAGGCAATGCAATATATAAACATGTGGTTTTTTAATGTTTTTTATAAAATGCAAATTGGCCCAGTTGGAAGGTATCGCCACCCCATAAACAAACACAGGAAATCCATGTTATAAATTCTCCGGAAAATAGTCTGAGCAGCTGGATGCAAGCATAGGAGCGACACCAGAATTCGAATGAGCAGACCCATGGCAGGAGTTCACCGGGGTCTCTCTAATTAAAAGACTGACTGAGGATACTTCTTGAGGCACAGCTGCGCCACAATGCGGCAACACAAAATAAAACGCCCGAGCACACAAGTTATAAATAAAGTTATTTCAAAGATCTTTGTTTGTTTCATGGATAGTTGCATGCCCCTGTCAACAAGCATGGATAGGTCGGTGCATGCCCCTGTCAACAATCATGAGCCAGTTGTTAAGCATGAACCAGTCTTCTTCTATTCTGAACGTCCATTCTGAACGCCACTGGCCCCACCCCGTCCTTGCGATTCTCCGTTGCCTTTGGGCGCCCCCTGGCCAGGAACGCGGAAACATCAACAAAATTCTTGAAGCACTTTTGATAGTTTGGCCACACATGTCTATACGTGCACCTGATTGGGGAATAACCAAAAGGGAAGCACCATATGAAACCCAATCCAATTTGTGACGCAACAAATCACAAACTCGACCGGCCCAACCTTGGTGCCAAGGGCTTTGCTCAAACATGACGTCCAGACCCAAACCTTCCTCAATTGGATTGGCCACATCCCATCTTTTGTCAGTGGTTCCCAAAAACATGGGTATTGCTTTGCAAAACAAAAACAATCACAAAAATGCTAGTTGGGGGGCACCGCCATGATTTCACAAAAACAAATCGACTGATTTTCAATAATCTCGTTGCATGAATCTGCATGACATGTTCAATGAGCTGATGAGTTCGTCTCTAGGGCAGGCACTCGTCTTCGTCGTACCAACATTCGTGGTTCGAGAGTTGATTCCCTGCTCGCTTCTTTTCGCATCGTGAACCTTGGGCCCAATCTTTTACAAAAAGGCAAAACCCGATGCTTGAAACACCCCAAGTCCAAAGGTACAAGAAGGTCTTCCATTTTATAAACCCAAAAATATCAAAAAATGAGGTAAATCTTTCTAACTCTTGCTTGATGGGTGGTTTATAAAATGGAAAGGTCCAATGTCTGAATCACCGAATCGAACTATGTCAGTAGATGATCCATTTTATAAACAAAAATATGGGGTAAATGATTCCAGCTGTTTGCTCGATGGGTGGTTTGCATTTGCATATTGATTTCATATCATGTCATAAAGCATTTCCACTCGAGATCTGGAAATGTCATGAAATGTCAAGAAATCCAATTCATTTCATAATTATGCGCCAATTATGCGGTGTTGTGTGACATGACAATTACATCTTCGATGGTTGTGAGCCAACATATATATATATATATATATATTACAACGGCAAAACTTTGAATCTTTGAATGTAACCATTTTGTTTCCATGTCCTTTCACCAATTTTTTTTGTGATTTAAAGTTATTTTCAAAATCTCTTGTCCACCTCCCTGCAAATCAGTTTAGGGACGCCAGATTTGACGGTCTTCGTCCCACCGAGCTGGCAGCACACTGGCTTCGCATTGCCGCACGCCACACTTCTTCGGTGGCTGCACAGCCCGCGGCATCGCTACTTGCGACGTAAGACTCAATGACCTATAAAAATAAATTTGATCAACATTGGGATAGAATTGAGATGAAATGGATAGACAATGTGATGTTTTGTTGATGAACTCAGGCCTCCTGGCTCATGAACCTGGCCCATCAAAATCATGGCACAGAAATGTGCCCCGCAGGAGCATAACTGAGCCAATGCCATGCAGAAAATACCGCAGGGGGGGACGTCGTGACATCGACTTAAATCATTTCATGTTTTAATATGTTTTTTTATGAAATGGATCACAAAGGCAGCTAGTGATATGTATGTTGTATGAAATGGAAGGCTACATAATTGATACATCAACACTGATTAAGTTTTAACGTTTCTCCATCCTACCTTATTACTTGTATATTATGGTAGCCGTATTCCAGGACCACATAAGAATGATTAAAAACAGTAAAGCAAACACCATTTATATTATGGAAATGCCGATTTTGGGACTAATGATTCCAAAGAAAAATGCAGCTGTATACTGTGGAATTACCATCGTTTTGTATGAAATGGAGGGGTGCAACATGGCACCAAAATTTAAGGGTTTTTTGCCCCGTTTTCCAAGATGGGCCGTGTATGAAATGACGTTGGTTTTTCCATTTCATACGGGGAGTGGGTTCTTCCATTCCATACAGGTACAGTCAAGGGGGATTCATCTATATATTTTTTTAAACATCTATACTTAAACTATTGAATTTCGTGAGCCCTGGTTTTTAGAAGAAAATAAGTGGTGGAAACCACCCTGGTCAGGAATAAGTGTTGAAAACTACCTGGGAGCAAAAACACACCAACGTACAAGATTCAAACCCTGGTGGTTTCATGAGAGGCTGCCTTCCTATATGTGCCAATGATGATATCTAAAGTGATTTCTTGAAATTCATGGACCCTTTGCCAGCCCCTGACACGCTGATGACTTTTTCGCCCTTGATGGCACCTCCCTGGTGTCAAGACCGTCTTTGCTCCAAAAACTTCTGTTTCCCTGCAATTTATCCAAGAAAAGTTTGTAGAATATTAAGAAATTCAATCAAAAATGTAGTTGATGGCTTCCACTTACTTCCAGGTATGATTGATGTGTCAGTGAGTTGGCGCTGAAATGTGCTGCAGCTGACAGGGTAGAGTCACTGATACTTCAAACTTCTAACAAATCGGGCAACCTGAAATAGCAAAACATTTCCCAAAACATGTTGCACTTGTTCAGACAAGATGTCTGGGACATCTTAAAATAGTTTGCAGATTATCTTTTGAAAAGTTTGCCACAGTCGGTGTGCAAAAACATTGTTAGGCTGTTTCTCCGGGAAATTGCTGAAAGTTTGAAGCCCGATGTCTCTCCAAACGCCTTGCCTGAAAAGAAAGAAAAAAACAAAATGTCTCCCAACAATCTTGACATGTCTCCTTGACATCTTAACATGTCTCTCAGACATTTTGCCTGGGCAAAAAGCAAGATGCCTCACAGGCAAGGTAATATCTTAACATTTCTCACAGACATTTTGCCTGAAACACATGCCAAGATGTCCCGCAGACATCTGAACAATCTTGCGGGAAAAATGTCTCCCAGACATCTTAACATGTCTTTCTGAAAACAATGCCGGGGTGTCTGCATAAGAAAACTTAACATGCCTCTCAAGCATCTTGCCTGAAAAAATGCCAAGATGTCTCCCAGACATCTTAACGTGTCTCCCAGACATCTTGCCGGACAAAAATCCCAAGATGTCTCCCAGGCATCTTGACATGTCCCTCAGAGACCTTGGCTGAAAATCATGCCAAGGTGTCTCCCAGACATCTTAACATGTCTCTCGGACATGTTGCCTGAAAAAAATGCCAAAATGTGTGTCTCAGACAACGCAACATGTCTCCCAGACATCTTAACATGTCTGGGAAACATATTATTTTTCAAATATTTTTCTGTGCGTTCCACCACTTATTTTTAGTGGAAAAAAGTGTTTCCACCACTTATTTTTTGCCACCTTCGACTGTTCCACCACTTCTGATGATACAAAAAACTGCACGATGTCTGGGCGACATGTTAAGATGTCTGGGAGACATGTTAAGATATCTTGGGTACATGTTAGGATGTCTGGGAGACATGCTAAGATGTCCAGGAGACATCTTGGCATTTTTTCTAGGCAAGATGTCTGAGAGACATGTTCAGATGTCTGGGGCACATGTTAAGCAAGCTGTCTGAGAGATATGTGGGAGACATGTTAAGATGTCTGGGAGACATCTTGGCATCTTTTTCAGGCAATGTGTCTTGGTTTATTTCAGGCAAAATGTCTGAGAGGTATGTTAAGATGTCCGAGAGACACGTGAAAGTATCTGAGAGACAGTTTGGCATTTTTTTTCAGGCAAGATGTTTGCGTGCCATGTTAAGATGTCTGGGAAACATGTTAAGATGATTGAGAGACATCTTGGCGTTTTTTCAGGCAAAATGTCTGAGGGACATGTTAAAATGCCTGGGAGACATGTTAAGATGTATGAGAGACATTTTTTTTGATATTTTGAAGGTTCAATATATCGGTCAACTTAGTCAACGTGTCTCTCAAAAAATCAAGTTTTCTTTTATTGTTTCTCCAAACCTTAAAAGCCTTTCTAACACAATTTCCCACACAGTTCATATCAACATGTCACTCCAGAAACCTTTACCTCTGGAGATGCCTTGAGATTACATTCCAAAAACATAAAACCTTTTTTGATAAGATGTTTCACCAGGGAATTCATCTCAGTCTCAGTCAATTCAGTTCGTGTCGGTCGGCAATGTTCAGCTTTGACTCTTGGGCCGTGCTTTTGACCCCTTCAACATGTGCTTGCTAAGGATACACAATGAGAAAGAAAATTCATGAGTAGAGGAAAACGAGGAAATAATTTTTGGACATGTAAGAAAACTGTTCCACCACTTGTTGGATTTCCAAATCGGAACACACCCCACTCACGCAATTCAACAACTTAAACCATGAAACTAAAAAACAAAACAGCTATCCCCTCGCAATTTAATGTGTAGCTATCGAAAATCAGCATGTTTAATAGGTCAATCATTTATAAATGAACGATGTTCCATAGCTAACATTTGAATTACCAGAGGATAAATTATCCATTTCTAAAGATGACTTTCCCAGCTATAAATACGTGTGTTTATAATTATGTATATAGCCAAATGTCCCACAATTTGAATGATTTTCCAATAATGTTCCCATGTTGTTCCTTTTCTCCTTTTGGCATCCAGGGTACCATCTGACAGGCCAACATATCTCATTCCTGCCATCTTGCACAAGTCGTCCACCTTGCCGAGGCCTGCAGAGAGGACGAGTCATCATCATCATCATCATCTTCATCATCATCATCATCATAATCATAATCATATATATATATATATTACAGTATGTGTGTATGTGTGTAATTTGAGACTACCAGGTAGTAATATTTATCTATGACATATGAAATTACGATCGATACGTGTCTATTGATCTAAGATTTACGATTGTTTATCGAATCAATTGCTGCTTAAACAAAACCAGGATGGTCTCAGGCGACCAGGCTCTCCACTCCAAAGGTCCCATATGCGAAACCTGGTGGCATCTTATCCGAAAACATATCATTCAGCGGCAAGACATGGTGTAGCGTAGCAAAAAAACAACAACAAACTTCAACACAAACTTCAACACAAAATGCCACAGGCCACAGACTTGTAGTTACTTCAAGGGGAATCTTTTGGAGTGATTTCATGCTTTGACCTCTTAAACTCATCCAAATTCCTTGAACAGCCCTGCAACTACAATTTTGATCCCTTAAAATCCGCTGAAGTCATGTTTTTGCCGGGCTTCCAGCGGTTTGCCCTAGAGCTCCACCAAAGTCATGGAAATCCAATGGCAATCGCTGTCTACCACCTGGACCACCCCGTTGCCGCCTTCAGAGACAGCAAAGATCACCTGATGGCCACGTTGCGACAAGGCGCGCCCAATGCTTACCATTGGCAGGACATGACCCATCCTGAGTAGCTGCGGACCCAAGGGCCGGGTGCTCGGTGTTGGGGAGGTCTTGGCTCCGGCGCGCCCAACAGCATGATAACATTCAGTTTCTTAGTTTAATGAACCTAGTTGTTTTTCTTCCTTAATGCACACAGAGAGAGAGAGAGATATATATATACAGTATATATATACATAAGAAATTAAATTACCTATATTTAAATAATATACTACATTATTTTTACTTAAATAATATCCACATAAACCATTGGCGAAATCTGATGACAACCCATTAGATTGACTCTGGTGAAAACCTGCGGCAACAAGGTCCACTTAAAAGGCTCTGGTACCAGGCCTCAAAACACCTGTCATCACCTGTCTGACTCCATCAGAAAATGGGAGTTTGATGAATCAACTAGCAAGTTTCATGGGTTACCCTCTGGTAAACGTTTACATAGCTATTGAAAATGGCCATTTATAGTGGATTTACCCATTAATAATGGTGATTTTCCATAGTTATGTTAGTTTACCAGAGGGTAGATATCGTTAGATACCCCAAGACTGAGTCAATCTGACCATGAAAGGAATCACCAATCCAGCCATGGCACCGTTACAGGATGCATCGTGCCTTCTGTAGCCATTTGGTTGTAGAACGACGTCACGTCTAAATAGATCCTATTGGTGCTTAGTAGGGACTGAGGGAATGATCCCCAATAACTATCAATAATAATCCCAGCAACCCATCCATTCCCTACGTTTAGCACCAGTAAGAAGACGGTAAATATACCAAACAATAGGCCCCAATAAGGGATGGTTTCGAATTACCCCATCAATCAAGTACAACAAGATAGAACAACTGTGCCACCACGATGGTACTTCGATCATGTTTTCCCTATGTGGTCTAGGTTTGCAACGTTTTTCGTATCTTTGTTTATTTTTTTGGGGGGTTGCTATATGTTATTATATATATATTACTATGCTTTTTTTGGGCATGATCCAAGGTGATCCAACCTTGCTGCAATGGAGCATCATTGGGATAGTATAGAGCACAACCTTCAACTTCTCCTTTCCCAGTGCTTGCGCCACTTGAGCAGCAGCTGGAGCCATTTGCTCAGACATCTTGAGTGCAACTGAGAAACACAACCACAAGGGACCGCGAAAACGAAAACCCAAGGCGCTTCCAACGCAGAACTGTGTGGGTTGGGGAGCGATGACAATTTCTCTTCATCATTTCACAATATCCGGTGAAAGTGTACGAAATTCTGATTTGTATAGCAAATGTTTGGCAGTCATCACGTGAAGTCAATGTCATTGGCCTGCCAATCAGGACAATGCAACTGCGAGCCAAACGGCAGAAATTGACAAACATCAAAAGATTCCCACACACCCACATATCTGAACATCAGTGTCCTTGCATAGGAGTAAAAGTTGTCGTTTCACGCCACATGATTGATTTCCAAACACGTTGCAGTATATATGGCTGTATATGGCATGCGTTCTATCGTCTTTGGCTCTATTCGGACAGCTCCAGTTCTCTGTGATTAACTCGAAACCAGAAATCAATGCCCACGATCTCCAGATTTGGAGCCCCATGGAGCCTCTAAATTTTCAATGGTGCAAGGTTGTTCCCCCTACTTATGCTTGTTGCTTTGTAAACCGTGTTGTTATTGCCTTTGTTATTTCATGTTTTCTCATCACCCTAACGAATAGTGAACCACCATCAATCCACGTTTCGACTCATCTGGCGAGGCCGGGCACGCAGGGCGGCACGCCTGTCATCCGCAATTCTTCGATGGATCCACATTGGGCTCCAAAGCCTCGCAGTTCCCATGGGATGATTAGCTAATGACTCACCAATCATTTCAGGTGCAAAATTGCGAGTTGCTTGGGGTTGGGGTCATATATATATAATATAATATATATAATATAATATTTATAATATAATATAATATATATATATATGTGTGTGTGTTTTCTTATATATATATATATATATATTTATTTATCTAAGTTGAAACATCTAAAATTGTAATTTGTATAGGGTCTGTCAATGTCTGTCATGGTGACTCACTTGCGACTCGGCTACTTGGACATTTTGTGAGAGTAGAACAACAGGGTTCAGGATTCAAGAACGCATGGTTAATTATAGGGGGATTATCATTTTTGCTTCACCAATCGAGCGTGTGTAGAAATAGGGTATACGCCTCATTTCATGAGAGTTTTAATACTGTGGGAAAGCCAATGCCATACAAAACACCCATACAAAAAATGGTATTAACCATCCCCAAATCATGGCCATTTGTTAACAAATACCATTTGGGGATGGTTGACAAAAACACCCATACAAAATGATGATGACTTAGGGGCCTTGGGGATGGTCTATGACAGCCAGGGTGGCCCTACCAAGGCGACTGGCTGATGGCCTGCAGGGCCATCATCAGCCGTCGCAGAGCCACCTTATTTTGGCCGCGTGGATCGTGGGATCTCAGCTGGAAATAGCAACTGGAAAACATGTGTAACCCATCTCAATCCATTGAAATCCAAGGAATAGTCCACTGAGACCATATAAATTTAATTGAAAAACAAAACAGACCTCCGGGAAAAGCCGCAATTTATTTCAATTTATTGGATCCTAAATGATCCTTACCATCGATCATTGATTAAACCCCATGATTGCTTAGTTTTAAAACATCTTACTGTTGCTAGATAAACTCCCCGTAGGTGCAAAAATAAATCCGTCTTTTCAAAATGTTTCTTCTATGGAATCCCATCCCTCAATATTACACACAGACCCCGAGGTTTTGCCCAAGCCCAGAATTGCGTAAATACCAGGGGATTTGTACGACGTCAAACAACGGAATATATATATATATATATTTATTTATATTTATACACTGTGTATATATATAATATATATGTTGCTGGGGTGCTGACCAGAGGATGTTGCTTCTACTATCATATGGAATTAACTATACAGTGATTACGGTTTCTTAAAGGGTTTCAAGTAGATATCAAAATCCCCGGTCCCATGAAATCACTAACCATACAGTCAAGATGTCATTAGGGTTTCTCGTAGGGTTTCAAGAAGATATCAAAACCCCCCGGCCCTATGGAACAATTAACCATACAGTCATTAGGGTTTCTTATAGGGTTTCAAGAAGTTATCATTATCATCGTCATTATCAGTATCATCACCATCATCATTATCATCATCGTCGTCATCTTGGCTTGCCTGGACGCTCGTTGCGAGTCCGGGCAAACCTCAGGGTCTTGCCATAATATTAAACACCCCCATTGTATGGTACCAAATATGCGTGTGTATCTCCTACTAAATCATGGCTTCTCGGGGGCTGTTTACGGTGAGAAGCGGAAGGCCGTTATAATGACCAACCAATACTAAATGCAAATGTTGATAATTGAGCAAGTATGGTTATTACATAAGATCCCTTCGGGATATAAACAATATCAGAATATTTGCTCATAGATCATTGTTACTATAACTTATAACCCACTGATAAATACATATTCACCAAATATCATAATTATCATCCCAGCATATCCCTGTGAAATATGGGTATGTACTTACGGTATTTACCAAATTTACCAAGGGTTTTTAACAGATGAACCAAGGCTTTTTGACACACTCCAACTCCTGGGCCGGGTGACGATATGACTTCGGATGCCCGCGTCGTCCAGCGGGTCCGACGCGGATTGCGAGGTCCAGTGCACCTGGACCCGGTAACCGTGTGCGGTGGAGGGAGTACTTCGAAAGGGCATGGATTTAACTGATTTAACTGAACTAGTTATAACATGTTATAACTAGTTGCATTAGATTCTGGTAATCAAACATGGTCAGCTGGGATGGAGTGGCTTCGTTTCAATACTGATGCACTGCCTGCATCTGGCTGCAGCATCAAACACAGCAGCATGAAATGCTATACTGGGAATCCAAAAGCCGACCCACACATTTGCGTAACGCACAATTTCTACAGATATGAATTGTCACACAGGTAGCTATTATTACAACTCTGGTTGTGTAGGTGACCAGAACATACTTTGCGACGTAGTTCCAGTTGTAAGCGGATGGATATGTCACCATAGCTATTAAGGGTTAGAAGTTGGCTTAGCCCATTCAGAAGACCAGGGATACAACCTACTCGTATGAACCACCAAGTAACCAAGTAGTCTTCTTGGCTAAATACCATATGTTTTCAATGCTATATACAGTCATATACAGTCATATACAGTCATATACAGTCATATACAGTCATATACAGTCATATACAGTCATATACAGTCATATATACAGTATATGCCAGCTTTTGCAGGTTTAATTGCCATATATTGCCATAGTTCTACCCAGAACAAACAAAACTGCAGTGACACCTCGGTATCTTGTCTTGACATCGAAAAGTTCACCTTGGGAGCCGCCAGGTTTGGGCATGGGGAGATAGCGGGGAAAAAGCTGGGATATGACTCACCAAGGTTTTTCATAGAACTTATCTGGTATAATTATTATATGACTCACCAATATTATATATATATAGTCATATCTATGACTAGTCTTGTTTTCTATGAAAATGAAAGAACATTCCATATGCAGAGTATACCCTCTAGTTGTGACCATTTTATCGCTAATGATAAGACTTCATGTATTGGAATTGGCGCAAAGCAAATTTGGCCACACACAATGTTAACAAAATCTAGTTTATAATTTTATACATATATTTATAGAATAAATATAAATCGAATAGCGTGATAAATTCAACACAGTGGCACTTCTTGCAGCCATCTGGCCATGTAGGGCATATCATTCAGCCACTTCTTACTGCCGATCACAAGGTCCATGTAGATCTGGCACTGGAGCCCCCCAAGGGTCCCAAAGGGACGACCCAGAATGAAGTTTTTCGGTGTACTCCAAAGCAAATCACGGGAAACCAACTCCCAGAATGGAACATATTTATCATATATATATATGTATATATATATCTATCTATCTATCTATCTATATTAATATCTATGTTGTATGACTTGAGGCCCAGGGGATCCCAGGGGTAAGGGACGAAAGCTAGCTTGGCAGGGAGCTTGTAGATAGCATGAAAACACAACAATGCTGCGTATGGGCATGCTGCCGAATTTGCTGCTGAATTTGCCGCCGGTGGCGACATGCTGATGGTGTTCCCGGGGGGATTGAGACTGCGTGTAAACCAGCCAGTATACGGGTAGTTGGGGTAATTATGAAGTTTCATGTGATTAGATATTCCAGCCACCCCCAATACCTTGCTAAAACAAGAGGCACTTCAGCTAGCAGAAACTAGGTTTCGTTACAACACACTGTAACACCTTACCTGAAACATTCCCGCAAAGAAACCACGCATAACTTTCCGTTAACATCTTAAGCGGCCACCGTTCCATGCCTTGTTGGCAGAGGTGTACTCCCGCTCGCCCATAAAAGTCACCATCTCCTGTTGAAAGAAGCTGCAGTACATCTCGCTCTTGGGAGATAGCCTGGGAAAAGATCAGGACACCGTTTTTGTATTATATTTGTTTTACAGGTGTCTCAACCACAAACAGACACAATTAGCGCGCTTGTTCCTTGAGCCAAAGCAACACGATAAGTAAACATAATTAGTATGTACAGTAAACAATATGTACAATAAACACCCCCCGCCGCCCGCAGTTGCGCGGAGGACGGAAGATGTAGTCCGCCAGATGTGACCTGAGAGCGGACAAGCATACAAGACATCACTGTACACCATGTTACTTAATTACGTGTGCTGAAAAGGTCATAGCTCGGATGCATGAGGCAAAAATGAGAGAAGGTCGGATGCAATGCATTTTCAATCCGGGGTAACGCACAATTCAGACAGAGGCAAAAGCGAGATTGGCCTGGCTTCCGCCAAGGCATAGGAGCATTACCACTCCTTTATCTTGCCATTGGTTTCGGAAACAGCTATATCAGGCTAATCTACACGGCATCTGTACACGTGCAACTACCGCAAAAGGATCGGATGCTGGTGTCAATGTCTTTATGAAGCAATTGAGAAAGGTTTTCAAGTCAATCAAGTTGGAATTTAAAGTTTGGAAATGTGTGCAATTCGATTGAACTGAATGACCAT